AAAAAAAAGAAATAAAAAAAAAATTGAAATTAAAAAAAAAATTGAAAAATAAAACAAAAAAAAAAATTAAAAAAAAAAAAAAATTGGATAAAAAGAAAATAAAAAGGTTGACAACGATGGTCCGCCTCGTGGCCCATCGTTGTCACGCGTTTTTATTTTTGGAAAATTTGATGCTGCTTGGGACCAACGTTGTCAGGCTTAATCCTACACGCACAAATGTGTTTCCTGGGTTTCTAACTCACTACTGATTTTCATGAGCAATATCCAATAAATTCAACATGAAAATGTTCTATAAATTTTCCATGCTACAAGTTCAACCACAAGCAATATATTTATAATAATGATAAGAGAATATAGAATTGGATACGAAAATTTGTTTTTACGTGTAGAAGGTAATTTAATTGGAAAATGCTGCTTAACTGCTCAGACACTCGTGCGATGCCGGTACGGTACCGTCTGACCGTACCGGTGCCCATGCAATCACTCGTGAAAGAATGGGAGATACGTATACAGCCGTAACGTACCGATCCAGACAAATGATAAATCGGCCGTGCTCAACCATTTATTTCAATCCATACCTCGACTCACTATATTCTACTAGGATCGAGGTATGGATTGAAATAAATGGTTGAGCACGGGCGATTTATCATTTGTCTGGATCGGTACGTTACGGCTGTACGGTATGGGGCAGGCGCAGAGAGTGTTTCAGTAGTCTATTTTCTACGAGACTATCCGTATCTCCCACTCTTTCATGAGTGATTGTATGGCTACCGGTACGGCCAGACGCAAAGCGACTATAACCGACTACCGGTATTTGGTAAGACGGTACGGTACCGGCATCGCGAGTGTCCAGACAACTGAGTAGTTAAGCAGCATTCTCCACTTAAATTACCTTATACACGTAAAAACAAATTTTCCGAATTTTCGTATTCAATTCTATATTCTCTTATCATTATTATAAATATATTACTTCTTGTTGAACTTGTGGCATGGAGAATTTATAGAACATTTTCATATTGAATATTGCTCAAGAAAATCAGTAGTGAGTTTGAAACCCAGGGAACACATTTGTGCGCGTAGGATTATGCCTGACAACGTTGGTCCCAAGCAGAAGCAAATTTTCTAAAAATAAAAACGCGTGACAACGATGGGCCACGAGGCGGACCGTCGTTGTCAACCTTTTTATTTTCTTTTCATTCAAATTTTTTTTTTTTTTTTAATTTTTTTTTTTTTTTTTCGTTTTCATTTATTTATTTTTTTTTAATTTCAATTTTTTTTTTAATTATTTTTATGTTTTTTTACAACAATTTTTTTATTTTCGGTTTTTTATTTTATTTTTTATTTTTATTTTCAATTGTACGCGTGACAACGATGGGCCACCATAATGTACCAACATTAACACGAGAAAGTAAAATTCTCGGGCAATACTTATAAATTTTGATGAGCGAAAGTGGTGAAAACAATTTGAAGTCATGTGACGGTGCTTGTGCCGAAATGCAAATCCCAATATAGCATTTAGGTGATTAGCTTCTGTTTTACTTGGTAAACAAACAAAGCGTATACAAAACAAAAAGTAAACAACAAATATAAAAACTCGAAAACTCGTTTCGGGCGTTGCTTCTTGTGGTTAGAATTTAGAAAGTTTTCACTCCAAAATTTGAAATCCTCAGCATTGGCGAATGATGGTCATTGGTCAGTCATTAAATCAACATAGACAGATAGATCTGACACCAGTTACCGACCCAAAGTCTCAAGTATGCATGCTTTTTCCGTGAAATACATTGAATCAGACCTCGCTCTCCCTGTGTCCAGTTCAAATACCATGTTTCCCCATTATTAACCATGTCGAAGTATTTAGATTTCTTTCAACAAAATTCTTTCGTTGTCATTCGTTCCAGGTATAAACTGTTTCTGACTTTTACCATTTGTTTCCAAGTCCCCGAACCGAGTTATTATTACCGTGCCCTCGCAGAGACGTCGACACAATCCTAACCCTCATCTGACTACGCCATCCAAAAATTACGTCACTACGACATCACAATCACGTCATCAAGGATGGCCAATACTGAATAGTTCACTATTTCGAATACATTCGAAATTATTATTTTCGAATATGAAATTTCGAATACTTCGAAAATAAAATCCAGTAATAGAATCTAAGTGTATGAAGGAATTTTCATACAATAAACAATGGAATAACTTCTATCTACAACCTGGCTATATTACCAGGCATTTCATGTTTGCAGATTATTGCGATATATATTTTATATAACATGAGTTGTGTTAATTAACAGAATTAAAATAATACGACAAGGCATTTTAAATAGTGGTATCGGTGATGGATTTGAATGCTTGCGCAACACAAAATCATCCTAGTAAAACGCTCATACTTTTAAATACCAACCATTATCCAAATTATTTGTCAAAAAGCGGGATAAAGTATGAGTTCTTTTTCAGACTTGTGACAATTTTTTCGTGAGTACAAAAATACGGATCAAAAAGTAAATATATTCGGGAACTTTACCACACATTTAAAGTCCGCAGATCGCCGTTGTATGTTTGTGTAATAATACTTTTATTATTTTATAAATACGAAAATAGGGTTCAAAAACTATTTATGATCGGGTAGTTTACCACACATTCAATGTCCACAGATCACCGTTGTATTTTGTAAATACGAAAATAGGAATCAAAAATTAATATCAATCGCGAGTTTGCCTCACAATTTATGTCCACAGAATGCCGTGATATTGTGCCCGAATATAATTAATTTTTGATTCTAATTTTCGTACTCGAAAAAATTGTCACAAGTCGGAAAAATAATTTATACTTTATTACACATTCAAGTCCACAAATCGCCGTTGTATTTTTGAGTTATAATAGTTTTAATATTTTGTAAATACGAATCCGAAATTAATTATAATTGGGCAGTTTACCACACATTTCATGCCCACAAATACCCGTGGTATTTGGTATTAATACTTTCATTATCGATACTTTTGACCATCATTATCAAAATTATTTTCCAGAAAGCGGGTGAAAGTATTTTTCTAATAAATCTACTTGTTTCCCAACTGGTGACAATTTATTGGATATCGTAACAATTACGGCTATAAATACCGTATTTCCCGGCTAATAAGTCTACATGGCAAATAGGACGATGTATATTCTTAGCACTCAAAAAAGGGGTTTTCCATATAGGCCTCCAAGAAGACGGGTAGAAAAATTATTCCCTGTTGTTCAGTTATGCTAATATGCGCTAATAATAATGTTTAGGACCAGGTCACGTTTGTTTAGTAGAATCATACTCACAGAATTAACTATTTTTAACAATAAAGCGGTAATTTTAAGTTAAAAATCACAATCAGTTTGAACAATCTATAATTTTATAGGGTCAGAACAGAACCAGATCATGTTTGTTTGGTAGAACCATACTCACGGAATTAACTATTCTCAACAACGAAGCGGTAAATTTAAATTATAAAGCGGCAATCATTTTGGACAACCTATCAACCCGAATGTTGAAATAATTTTGGAATGTGATAATACCACACGGTACGTCCACGGGTTATTTCACAGCTGTGTTTCATGTCCCTGTCGTTTTCTGCTGAATCGGCAAAACCAAAGGGTCATAAATCACTTACTTTATCTCGGTGGCGGTGGCCGTGTTTTCTCTTTTAAGTAACGATAACCGGCCTACGATTAAATATCATGATTGGCAGACCCATAAGAACCAAATATACGGTTTAACACAAATTATGCTTGAGAAGACTAATGCGAAAAATAAGCAGGCCACATAGAAATAAAATAAACATGTTTTTTCAATAAGGCGCCCCTTCCCCCCCAAAAATCAAGCCAAAATTGGGTCTAGAAAAGCGACTTATTAGCCGGGAAATACGGTGATTGTCGATTTTTCGACTAATGGAAACGATTTTGTGGATTAAAAGACGAATGTCGGCAATGTCCACCAACGCAAACGTGCAAAAGTGTCGCAACACTATGCGACGTACATTCGCGCTGAATATAAACAATCAAAATGCCGACTCTATTTCATCGTCATTACAATACGTGAGAAAGCGTAAAAAGTCGTTTGAAGATTCCGGTAAAACGAAACACCGTGTTACGGCGAAAAGTGACTACTATTCGTAATTATTCGGAAATGAGCCGGAAAGGTATTCGAATACCTTGATATTCGAATAATTTCGAATATTCGATTCGTTTTGGACAACCCTGCACGTCATATTGCTTGCCAAATATCCGTACAATCGCTCGAAATGGCATTGGCGCCGACGATAAAGAACTGACTGACATTATCGGTCTCTCTTCTATTGGAATCGTTGCGACGAGAAAACGAGAGAAATAACTGTTCGATTTCGGGTGCTCGTTTGCGCGTCTTGGATGGCAGTTCGTATAGTTTGAAGGGCTCTATTACGTCACTGTGACGTCGTGTTGACGTATTTTTTGGATGGTGTAGTCAGGTGGGGGTTAGGATTGATACGATAAAAAAATTGTCATGCTACGCCCACTAGAAGTATGTTAGGTACGAAACTACATGAAACCCCAGGTACCGGTACCTACCCGTATTCACCCGTACCGGTACCATATTCCTGTTATTAGAATGATTCAATTCTAGCAGGCAAATACGGTACGGTACCGGTACCGGTAGTTTATCATTGCTGTATGTTTTTCCATTTATGTTACCAGTACCGGTATTTTATAATTGATGGATTGTATAAAATAAGCCAGTTTACAGACTTTTTGGTCTTCTGGCGTTACTGGTACGGTACCGGTACCGTATGCAGGTATGATTTGGATTTCAATTGTCAGCAATCACTTTACCTCTTTATTGTCACGATTTGATTCAAGTTGTGTTACCGGTACACAGTTATTTAATACACATTGAACCAGCTAGGTATTCAGTCTGCCAGTGATGTTTAGTAACATCTTTACAATTCAACCCAATGCTGCAATGTCTGTCAACCTAATGCTGTAATGTCATGGATAATGCAGTAATGCATCTTACTATAGATTTCCTAAAAATTGTGTGACTATATTTATATATATAGTGCTGTAGTGATAGTCACTTGCTACTAAAAACACATTACCATGAGATATCTAGAGATGATGTAAAAGATATTTGCGGTTATCTCTTAGGACAGTACGGCACACTTCACAGATCAAGTTATAATCGGAACTAGTGATTTTGGATAATTAAACCAACAAAAAGCGAAAGGTGAGAGACATTGTCTCGTTTCAGAAAATCCTATTTTGTCAATGAACAAACAAACACCTCTCCTTTCGGGGACATCTGGACATAGTTGTCCCTCAATATCGGTAAAATTACAGTAAAATGAGGTTGGGCAAAAATCTACAAAGAAGCGCAATCTAAAAACGTCATCTTTGCCGTCGTGGCATATACCCTCTGTTTGTGAGACACATGGAGTGTTGGTTTTATTGAACCGAATGACAGGACATTCTTGGAAATTGAAAAGTGTGCCTTACTGTTGGACATGACATGCATTTTACCTCATTGCTCATTATCAATTTACTTCAAATGGAATTCTGAAACTTATACCTTTATGCATGGTGCGCCAGTATTACGGTTATTATATTTAATTTGTTTCTTATGACAACAACTTTGTTATGTAGGATTCCACCACCTAAGTATGCATCAACTACGAGATATCAACAAGACAAACCCAAAAATCTTGTCCCGTCGTCAGCGCCAGGCCCCTCATCTTCTCCACCGAAAAGGGAGCGAATAATTCGACGAACTTCGCCATTGAAGGGTAGGATGGTTTTGTTATTTGCCTGAGAAACTTGCCAACGATATATGCGTTCTGCTGTTTATACAATTCCACATACTAATACTATAATTTAGTTATCATTTGTTATTGCTCAGCTAACTAATTGATAATAAGGGTTTGTTAAAGCATGCTTATTACTTAAAATATACGGTTACATTGAATTTCTTTATTCTTATTTCTAATTGATGACCTGGTCCTTGGTCAAAATTGGGATTTGCCATTCAATCATATAAAAAATTAATTCAAATATTCCATAAATTGCCACAAATGGCAGAGAACAATGGCACAATTAATGCGCTATGGGAGTATAAACGAGTAAATATACCCGTCTCGTTTTGTAATAAGTTGGCAGTAGTGGACATGGGCGATCTCCAAAGATAAGGATTGGTAGCAGTAGCACTATGCCAGTCTGGATTTCATGGCCCTTTTCGAACGAGAAATCGGGCGTGCAATCAGAAATTCCCGCTTGCAAATAAGAATTTCTGGCGTGCAATTATAGTTCACGGCGTGCAAAACAACTGCGCCCGCTAAACTGATTTCGACCTAAGATACCTCTCAATACATCCGCGTAAAATTACCAGTATTGGATAAAAAAATAAGTTGAATCATAGCAAAAATGGACGTTTGACCTTTGACCCCCAAACATCATTTCTATAATTTGTCACTAATTTTGAGAGTGTTTGAGCGACTTTAGATACCGGTACTGTTCAGTACATCCGTGTAAAATTATTGTATTAAAAATACGCTGAATCAGAGCATAACTGGCCAGCGTCGTGAGGAGGCGATTTTTCTCACGGGATTCCTATCATTCAACACGATATATGGTGTTTTTTGCTTCGCATTTTTCGATCAGGCCAATCTTGCAGCAAGTATTAGTCGACAATTGTAAAGTTATAATTTTTTGGCATCTTTATATTACTAGATTATTGATTTAAAAACTATTTAAACCGATTTACATTGGTGAGCAATTGCAAATTTTCGGCGTGCAAAATTGAATTCGCTCGCGTGCATTTTTGTGGAGCGCTAGCGCCCTCGGGCGTGCATCTGCCATGGAATCCAGTCTGGGCACTATGGGTGTTGCTAAGGGAATACATACAGTATGAAGCGTCAGCCAACTCAAATCTTAATTGTTTCAATAAATCAAAGTCGCTTGCGTACCACATGAAAAGCTCCATCGTACCACAGGCTGGGAGTTATGAAAATTGGGTCCTTGTTTGCTAATGCACTTCTTTTTCATGCCACAGGCTAATATAGGAATTCATTTCATACTATTCGATTTCTCAACTGATTATCATTTAGATTATAATTCTCATGACAACACTATTAAATTAATGAAAATGCCACAAGAGGGTGACAGAAAAGATTTGAGTGTTTGGGAAGATTGGTTGATCAAAAAGTTACAACAGGAGAGAGAAGACTAAAATACAGGTATGTATGCAATTCAAGCCATGGTTTTTCAGTTTAACATTGTTTCTTGTTTGAGGGAGTTTGTTATACTTTTGATATTCAAAATGAATGCTGGTTGTGACAGTGTAATTGACCAGACGTTAGTCACCTTTGTAAAACTACGAAAGTTTGTTGTTTTGACAAAATGATCTAGAACACCTACTGATAGACTTATTTTGAGTCTGGATAAATATCTCATTTCAAAATTTTCTGGTGAAATATGATTTAGTTTTTTGCGACTCTACATATTGTTTCCCACAAACTGATCATCCACTAATTTACATAACAATTCAACTGAAATAGGCCACGTCGATACCAGTGTAAATCTTGTGTCCACCTAGAATCCAAAATACTGTTACTTATTGAAAGTACGATAAATTGTTGTAGGTGGCCTTCGGAAGAGGGCCAGGAGCACTTTAAAAGGTTGGGAAACACTGCACTAAGCAATCGCAGCATCCAAGAATAACTTGAGAGCTTGGACCGGCTTGACATATAATTTAAGGTGTAGATCCTTGTATCCAACGCTGGTTTGGTTGGCTTTAACGATGCAGTTATTTGTGTTTATAGAGACAAGTTGAAAAAGAAGTAAAAGAAAGAGAGGAAAGAAAAAGAATGGAAAAGGAAGATTTAAAGAAAGAGCTGAATTAAAACATCAGCAGTTGGTGTGAAGAAAAGTTATTGAAGGTGAATTATAAACGTTGAAACTTCGGAGTTAGTGACTTAGTGTTGGATTCAAACATGCTATGTTTTTCTGAATTCTGCAAATATGCTGTTTTATGCATTGGACTCTAAAAATGAGAGTACCTCCGTAGTGTGTGTACCAGATTAGGGTTCGGCCATAATTTTATTCCGATTTTCCTTATTTTAGTTCTATTACGACTGTCTGTGTTAGCCAAGTGAATATACCTCCTGCCCATAGGTTTCAGTCCCTTTACACAACTTGATATAAAGTAATCGAACAAAATTAGTTACCTCCATATCGGTACATACACTTCTAGAGCGCCTTTTTTCACCTATGTAGTAAAGAGAGTAAATTAAACGAAGAAATATTTAAGTAACAAACTTAACTATTTTCAGATGAAGTTACAGACGAAAATTGACAAGCGTGAACAAATGTTTGAAGAAGAAATGAAAGTTCAAGAAAAACGAGAAATTGAGAGAAAATCGAAACAAGCGTACGAGAGATGGGTGGGAAAAGAGAAATGAAATTGAAAAAGAGCAAAAGAGAAGGTGAGTCTTCGACTAACAGTGTCTACAACTGCGCAAACTACAGGCCACGTCTGGCCGGTATGGTAAATTCAGTCTGACCACTGATGCTGCCATACGGGTGTCGCAGCTCGATAACCGGTATTGGTTCCCTGCCCATGCCTTCCCAGTAATGTAAATATCATTTTTCTTTATATTTATGAATGTTTTTTGGTTTTTTACTGGTTGGAAAAAATAAACTTGTCTTAGCCAAACTAAACACCAAAGTTTGATGTTTAAGCTGAAAAAATAGCTGGAGGAATTCGTTTGAAATTGTGATTAAATTCAGTTTTGGCAGCAAGGCTTATCGGTCTCCATTTTTGCTTATGTACAAATACATGAATTGTAACTCTTATGTCACATTCTACATGGCTGGCTTGCCAGTCTAGATGGGAAAACTTAGTCCAAAACCTTGCTTGCCCCTGGTCTACACTTTCCTGAGTGGGCCAGTTACACATAATAAACACGAATCTCAATATGAATAAAAACAGTTTATTTACAAATACCTAGCATAACAACTAATGCACAACAATAGCACATTAGCTTAGGCGCAGATAATACATGGGAAATTATGGTTTAATTTTAGCCAATGATTCGTTATTTTTATCAAAATTTCAACGCAAATTTATATCAATAAAAAACTATATTCATAATTTTCTACTGGCACGAGTGGGCCAGATCTCTGGTGTACACAATGCTGTCTTCAACTTAAGTATTTTAATTACTCTACATAGTGGTTGATTCAAACCGAAGCTGTTCTTGGAATATCATGATAATCAGAAAACCTGTTTTTGATCGATATTTGAAGCCTCTCAAATTCATAAAATCTCGCTATGTTTCCCCAAGACAATTTGAATATGATAACTATTGCTACATATAATATTAAAAATTGTTGTTATAAGTTTTCAGCCGCATTGCGGATTATATTCGAATTTCAACTTAAACTGTCGACTTCACATATACAATGGTAGCAATATTTTTCTGATGACCTTGGTTCCCTGTTATTTTGAATTTTTATGCTGTTGCCCCATAAAAACAGACCTGTTCTCACGACCACAGCAAATGGGTTATGTGCGTCGCAGCATATTTGGTGTTCAGATGTTATGTATTAGATTTATGTGTGCCATATGCCATGCAGCTTACACACTGACATACCTTAAAGTTCCTTCACAATTTCAATTTTGTTATAGTCAGTTCTCACTATATTATCTTAACCAGGTTTGTTGTTTTTCAATCAGTAATTGTTCAAGTTTTTTTTACTTCATTCAATGCATCTGTGAGGGCCAAAACAATATATGATATCGATAAATTTCCTTGGTAATTTTAAAATTTTTTAAGACTTTATGGACACCCTATATATACACTTTGTGAAATGGGGGAAATTATAGTAAGCGAGTTCAATACAAAATAGAACCTGCTCTTAAAATCAAATTTTTGTGTATTTGTATCTGTACAGCCAAAATGGACATTAGGCTCTACCTAGAATCAAAACTAAAACTGATTAAGCTTTGAAACCAAGATCAATAATGCTCCCTGGTCCATAATGACACAATATCAAAAACAGTCCATTTCTGAAAAATGTGACATTGCTACTTTGGTTTTAACTGTGGGTAGCTTATAGCCTGCTCCTGTCTTAAAAATTGCAATCTGCCAAGACGAAAGAAAAGGGGTTTTAAAAAATGATTTCAGGATGGCTTTCGAGGAGATACTGAAGTTTGACAATATATATTCTGACTCCAGGTGTTTCTTAAAAAATCATCAATCATATTGTTTTACTGTCCCATATACTGCAAAAATGATTTGCCATTACTTAAACTTGTAATCAATGTTTTTTCAGATTTTTAAGATAAAAAGCAAGTGTTAAAATTTCAAAAATGTTTATTAAAATTTGTTACAAAGAAATAATAATGTGACCAACTTGCTTTTTCTTTGAAAATCAACCTCTTTGCTTTGCGAGTAACTAAGGATTTGTAGATGTTAATTTTTTTAAAGGAAGGAGAAAAAACTTGAAGAGAAACAGAAAGAGGATGAAAGAAGAAGGAAAAATGAAGAATGCTTTCAGAAATGGCTGAAAAAAAGTCAATGAAAAACAATGTGCTTCTCCAAGACAAGTTTTAAATGTTTGAACTTTTTTTTACTTCATTATTGATGGTGGTTAGTAGTAAGATTGCTTGAAATGTAAAAGTCGTAACAGACTAACAAAGTCCAACAGAATATTTCTCATGCTCCCAATTTATTTGAAAAATGACTAACGACAAATGTATCTTTCCATTACTTCAAAGTGAAAACTTTGACCTAACAAACCACAAATTTTTAGCTAAGGACTCTGGAAAAGTCCGACTGATTCCTGTGGATTTGGAAAGTCTGACTTTTAGGGCAGTAAATTTCAATTCTGCTAGTCAAGGCTGGCAAAGGTCTGTGAAGTTCGCCTTGTTGTATTTCTTATTTCAAACTTTTCCGAGTCAAAACAAAGGTTCAAGTCACTTTATAGCAGTGCTTTTTTATAAAACCTTTGACCAGTCGTGACATGCTGGGTAATATGGTAACAACCAGGGATGTAGACGGGAATTTTCAAAAGGGGGGTTTTGAACTTGATTATTGGTGGTGATGGAGATTGATAGTAAGATCGCTTGACATGAAAAAGTGGTTAAATAAATTGTGGTTTTTTAAGTGTGTTGAGGATCTAAAAAGTGTTTCAAGCTCTGAAACAATGCTGTGTGATACAGAAAAATGTTTCTTTTTTTACATTTCAAAAAAGGGGAGGGGGATCTGACCCTCGAAACATTCCCTCTAAGCTACTACACCCCTGATAACAGTAGATTGAATTAGAAGCGCATTGGGATGTGATGCAAAACCGAACTGAAAGTATGTTCAACGTATTAACTGTTTAGGTCAGCGATTTCCACGGATATGCTAGGATTTTACCAGTACAGCGATGGGTTCCACAAGTTTCCATTCCAATTCCATAGTCTGTATTAGTTCGACAATCCTACCGTCTTGTTTGAGAGTCATATGTTATTTGAATATGAACACATACGCTGGTACAATATATTCATATAAATTTCTGTTTCGCTTGTGTTCCATTAAATTTTTTAGATTGACATATTTGACATCAGGGGTGTGCAACATGCGAGCCAAATGTGACCTGCAAGGAAAAATTTTGTGGCCCGGGCTGGTCTTTCATGGTGTGAGGCTCTCGAAACAGATTTTTGATTTAATTTAAAAGCTGGTACATGCGAGTAATTCCAATCCTTTGCGTTGCAAAGCCTATACTTGAGGCCTGAGCCCAATTTATTATCTATGCCTATGGTGATGCAATGCTTTTTTGTTCCTGCAACTACCAGAAAGCTTAGGTCGAATAAAGGTGCGGCCCGCGTTTACACCCAGCTATTTGTATCTGGTCAGTCTGTATTAAAGGTTGTCACCCCTGTTTTCACACAAATATTGTAATCAATTTCATAGGGTTCCTAAGCCTCTGGTATTCTGCTACACCAAAAAGGTTTGAAAATCTATGTTATGGGTTATGGCTTTAAGCCGCTAATATTAGTAAGGAACACAACCTGAAGTCCGAAATATATTTATCACAGGTACAGTGAGTGAGTATCCCGCACCATCTTATCGTAATTCAGCACCGTGGATTGGCCCACTAGCAGACAAAGACACCAAGGAATCAGTACGTCGCCAGCACAAAATGATGATAGCAGAAAAACATGCAACAATTCGACAAAGACCAAAAACTGCGAACCAAAAAAGAAAAGGGCTCGTAAAAACTGGCCCAGAAAAGGGCAAAGGAGTGTTGATTTGTAGACCTGCTACTGCAGCACCCTTGTTTTATAACGTGCCAATTAGGAACCCCAAAAACTTTATGCCTGAACCTAAGAGAGGCAGTTTTAGGGGAAGATCGTAACATCTCGATTCTTAGTGTGTGAGATTAGTTGATATTTTATGATGAAATAATAATATAGACTTTTAGAATGTAATTTAAACCATAGCAGCGCTGAGGCCGATGTTTGCTGTTATATTAAGAGGCAAATGTGATTTGGATATTCAAATATAACTTGTGGCTCATGTTTGGAATTCACGGGATTTGTATAAGTTGTCTTGTAGAGTCTAAAATCTGGCATGGGCAAACTACGGCCCACGGGCCAAAACCAGCCCGTTGGATACTTGAATCTGGCCCGCCCGATGCTGCCACAACCAAGGTAAAACCGAATTTGGATGTTTCAGCTAAAAAATTGATTAAGGAATTGGTTGAGATTGCGATTAAATTTAGTTTTAGCACGTGGCTTCTTGTTTTCGACTTTTCCTTTTATAACACTGTAAATATTATTTATAAAATGTAACTTTTTACGTCACACTTGCATGGTCGCCAGTCTGGGTGGGCAAAATTTTTAGCTGTGGTTCAAATACCTTTCCAACCTCTGGTCTAAATCAAGGTATCAGCAGCATCCGATACATACTCTCTTCTATATCAGTGAATTATCTATATTTCAAAAGCCCGGCTGCAATTCCCGAAAGAAAACCCTTTGATATTGAAGATGGAGAATCTAAGACAGGGGTCTCAAACTCGCGGCCCGCGGGCCAATTGCGGCCCGCAGGATGATAGTTTGTGGCCCCCGCCTTGGTATTATTATTGTTAGTGCGGCCCGCAAGTCACTTAGATCAGTTAGCATGATTAATGCTTTCAATATAACAGCGCTTTCCAAACTGTGTTCCGCTGAACACTAATGTTCCGCGAGCATCTTCCGAGTGTTGCGTGGAAAAGGAATCAAAAATACATCTAAATTGGTCGCCATGGCGATCTGAGAATCATGAAGTTGTTGCCCAACTGACCGTTTGAAATCTCGTCACCGTCGGCCTAAAGTGGACTAAGTTAGGGTAATGGCATTTTCGTTGACCGTCGGTTAAGCTTTTTGACTGTTAATTTCATTATCAAATTTACAGTAACTTTGGTTTTGTTAAAGACAAACAAGTAAGTCTAAAGAATAAAGGCAAAAGGTCAATCGTTCTTCCTCCATCTCCACTTGGTTTTACTTCGAAATGCTGAAAGTTTGTCGCGCATTTGCAACTCGCCACGGCGAAACAATTGGGAACCCCTACATTGCACAGTTTTTCCTTATCAATTTAATCCTTTCATTTTTTGGTGTTCCGCGAGGTGATATAAAAAGTGTGAGTGTTCCGTGGCCGAAAAAGGGAAACTCCGTAATATAAGATACAGTCACGTAGGGCAAAACAAAATATTTTATCATCTATCCCCTGAAAGGAATATGCGATGCGGTAACCTACCAGTACCATATCTGTAGGCCTGATATTCGATCGCGGGACCGCCTGAAATAATTTAAAAACAGTGTTCCATGATTTTTGACGTCACAATCACTAACGCTTAGATTTATCTTGATACATTGTAACCATGTTTCCCATGTGGTGCAACATCACTGTCCATCGGCTAAATGCTTGATTGAAACATCAGCGCAACAGTTATTACAAGATGGAATTTTATAATTTCGCACATCCCTAAACGTGTCGTTGGAAGTGAAGTTTCAGTAAACAGGAAGGTTGGTGATGAGCACAGACAATTTCAAAAAACTGGGAAATGCAATATTTCTTTGTTGAACATAGGAGCATCCCGACATGTTTTATCTGCACAGTTATAGTTGCAGTGCACAAGGAATACAATTTAAACGAGTTGCTAAGCTTTTATTGTGGAAAACCTGATGCGGCCCGGACTCATTCAGACGCGGCCCCCAAGTAAATTGAGTTTGAGACCCCTGATCTAAGACGAATTTATTTTAGGCAAAATCATTTTGAATCTGATGTTATATCTATAAGACGGGGCTCTCAAAATAAATTTACCCAAGGCCACTGGAGGCAGAGTCTGGGTGGATCCGGGCCGCATCAG